ATCTCACACATGATTTGGCGTTGGTACAGTGATGTTTGCATTGAAAATCTAGAGGCACTATTTGTATGGGGTAAAATGTGAGATATTCACTGATCATAAAAGTTTGAAGTTTATTTTCACCCAAAAAGAATTGAATATGAGGCAAATACGATGGTTGGAACTACTAAAGGACTATGATTTGACTATCAATTATCATCCGAGAAAAACCAATGCAGTGGCAAATGCTTTGAGTAGAAAGACCCCGAGTAATTCAGCTACCTTGATCATTGACCAAAAGAATATCTTGGAGGAGTTGCGAAGGTTGAATATCGAGATTAGATGGCACAACCATGGGGTGTAGTTGGCAAACCTTAGAGTTCAACCCACATTGATTGATAGAATTAAAGATGCTCAGGGAAGAGATCCTCAGTTGCAAAAACTTAAGGCTGAAATGGAAATAAGGTTACAGATGGAATTTTGTATACATGAAGGTGGAACCTTGAGATTTGGAGAAAGGTTGTGTGTGCCTAATGATTTAGAGCTCAAGAGAGAAATCCTGAGAGAAGCTCACAGTTCAGGGCATATTGTACATCTAGGGAGCACTAAAATGTATAAAGACTTGAAGAGGAACTTTTGATGGAATAATATGAAGAGGGAAATTGCTCAGTATGTTGCTTAATGTTTGGTATGTCAACAAGTGAAAGTTGAACATCCAAGACCTACAGGTAAGTTACAACCCCTCCCTAATCCCGAGTCGAAGTGGGAGCATATTGCCATAGATTTTGTGATAGGGTTGCCTAGAACCCAAGGTGGTAACAATGCCATTTTGGTTATCATTGATCGATTGACCAAATCTGCTCACTTTCTAGCTTTTAAGGTGGGGTTCTCCTTAGAGAGGCTTACAAAATTGTATATCAAGGAGATTGTGAGGTTTGCATGGTATTCCAATGACCATAGTGTCTAACAGAGATAGCAGATTTGTATCTATGTTTTGGAGGAGTTTGCATGCAGCTTTGGGTACTAAGTTGAATTTTAGCACTGCCTTTCATCCTTAGACTGATGGACAGTCAGAGAGAACTATTTAGGCCCTTGAAGACATGTTGAGGGCTTGTGTTATTGATCTTGGAGGTTCTTGGGATAGGCATTTGGCCTTAATGGAATTCTCTTATAATAACAGTTATCATGTGAGCATTCAGATGGCACCATATGAGGCTTTATATGGACGGAAGTGTAGATTACCTATTTGTTGGGATGACGTGGGCGAAAGGAAATTGTTAGGGCTTGAGATTGTGCAATAAACAGTGGACAAGATCAATCTTATTAGAGAGCGACTTCGCACTGCACAGAGTAGACAGAAAAGTTATGCAGATAACAGGAGACGCGATTTGATGTTTAGGGTTGGAGACCATGTGTTCCTTAAGGTGTCTCCTATGAAAGGAGTAGTGAGGTATAGTGTTCGTGGTAAATTGAGTCCTAGATTTGTTGGGTCATTTGAGGTTTTAGATCGAATTGGAGAAGTAGCTTATAGACTACCACCTTCACTAGCTGGAGTTTATAATGTTTTTCATGTCTCAATGTTAAGGAAGTATATACTGGATCCTTGTCATATGATTGATCATGCACCGTTGCATTTTAAGGAGGATTTGACATATGAGGAACACAATATACAAATTGTTGATAAGAAGGAACATGTTTTGAGGTATCGAGTCATCCACTACGTTAAGGTTCAATGGAGCAATCACTTGGAAATAGAAGCTACTTTGGAACTCGAGGATGAAATGAGACAAAAATATCCATAACTTTTTGAGACTCCAGGTATGTCAAATTTCGAGGACAAAATTTCTTTTAAGGAGGGGAGAATGTAAGACCCAAGTTATGTGTTGAATTATTTTTTTGGATAGATTAATAATTAAAATAAATTGTATGGGTAATTTAATAATTTTAAGAATTAGGCTAAAAAAAAAAAGGGAGGGGGGGGGTTTCACGTTATGTTGTATCATAATTTTATAGAGGGTTCAAGGGAGGCTACGATAAGAATTGAGGGCAACACGTTAGGGATATTCTGATACAACCATTGACTGAGGTAAGATTCTTCTTGTATTACCAGTTATTAATTTTCTATTGATAAATAATAATAAAAAACAGGTGAAGCTTTATGTAAACTTGAATGTGCCTACTTGGTTTTGAGAGCTTGGTGAATGGTCCCACGTGTGGAGTGTAGTCTAGGTAAAGAGTAGAAACAGTGGAGCAGTTTGGGTGGGTGTGGTTTGACATTTGAGATTTGTACATTTGGTAAGGAATGCTTGGCTATTAAATTGGGTGGATTGATTTGGTGTCTCTTGGATTTTAAGCACTGCATATATATAATGGGTTCTTGTTGATGTGTGAAAGACATCAAAATATTAATTTATTTGAGGATTTATTTATTAGGTTTGTGTGATTGAATTGGTGGAGGTGGGTGTTTGGAGTTAGTGTAGTGGAATATTATTTTAAGCGTTTGAGGTAAGTAACCCTCTGTCATTGTTGGTTCATTTTTTATTCCTATTGAATCGTTTGAAATTATAAATGTTTATTTATAGCCTTCCTATTCTCTTAAAATAAAATATGGGTCAAGTATAAAACAACATCGGATATTATTATGAAAATTATTTGAATATTTTGTGAAACAATTTTGAAAATTATACCAAATGTTTATTCTGAAAATATCGAATATCTTATTTAAAAGTTGTGTACTGTTTGAATTTTGAACATCACTCTAGTCTGACTATAATTTGAACCCTAGCTAATGAGGGTTATTTATTGGCACAGAAGCTAGTTTCTTTTGGGGCTTCACCACTGGCTTAGGTGTGGTTTTGGGCCTTGTCACGGGCTAAGTGACCGTAGTCACCAAGACTTGAGTTTTGTGAATCGAATCATTGAACCATCTGAATATTAAACCATCAATTTGAACAACGAATTACCTCATTGTCTTTTATATTAAAATGTATTGCTATACTGTTTATTTTCAGCTATGAAACCATCTTACAAAATAATTGTTCATTTATTGAATTGTAGCAAAAATATATTTATTGGTTATCGACTATTTTTATTTTTTTGTATACTTGATCCAACTAGCAATGATGGTTGGTTATTTGCTCGGCTGTCTAACTTACCCTTATTTTTATTTTTTTTAAGATTATGAGGAGTAGAGCTGCGCGGGTTTTGTACTTATGTGAGTTCCGAGAGTAGGACTATGATTTTAAGTTACTATTTTGTAAGTGGATTATATTAGTGGACTTGGTGGACGATTTCATACGATAAGAATTATTTATTTTTATGGATTTTGGCTTTATGATAATTAAAGATTTAAATTGAGTATTTTATATTGTTAATTAATTTGATTGGACTCTTAGCCTTGCATGCTCACTTGGATGAGTGTGCAGCGTTGTCACGGGGCTTGGGGCGTGACAGATGGAGAAGGGGAGGGGTCTTATCCACCATTGAAGTTGGAATAAGATTGAGATCAACAGCTTTTTCTCAATTAAGGTCTGCAATATATATGATTTTTAGGTTTTAGTTCATAAGAGTCTATTGTAGAAGGTTGGATTTAGCCGATTAAAAAAGGGTTTTTTTTTTTAAAGAAAAAAAGTTTAATATGTAATGAAAATTCCTCCATACAATCAAAATTTTTAATTATTTTATAATGCTTTTATTTCGATAGGATGTATAATATGTGATATCTTAATCTGTTTGGTTGACTAGAAAATTGATGGTAAGAAGAAAAAAAGAAAGAGAGATTATAAAAATCTCCTAATCTAGTTTGTTTCCTGCTGTTTTTGTCTAAAATGGAGGAGGAGAAATCACCTAAGCCATTATAAATTGATTTCAATAGACTCTTCTTTTGACTGGACTAATTATCTATTTCCTTTGGTTTTCTTGAGTACTTGTAATGGAAAAGATATAAAATCTCTATGTTTTTGTTAGAAATTTGCCAATGTTTTCTCTGTATCCGATGAGAAGGGTTAAGGTCTCCAATATATTCATATCTGGATTGATTCCATGTTAATTCCTAAATTTTTTAGAATGTATGGTCTGCTTCTGCTCTCAACGACGCAAGCTTCTCAAACTGACAATTAGGGTTAATTATACTTTTAATCCTTTTAGTTTGACTCAATTTTTATTTTGGTCCATATAGTTTCAAATTAAACGATTTGATTCATACACTTTAAATTTAGTTTCAGTTTGGTCCTCTTGTTCAAGTTGAAGGTTAAAGTTAACGATTTTAGGATTTTAGGACACTAATCAGTCTCCTAAGGTGTCCTAGGAAAAATTAATGGAAATTTGGATGAAAGGACTAAATCAAAACTGGATTTAAAGTGCAGGGACCATATTATTCAATTTGAAATTATAGGGACCAAAGTGAAATTTTGGTCAAAATATAGGGGTTAAAAGTGTAATTAAACTCTAGGGGACTTACATGTAGGTCCTAATAAATGAATTTATTATCCAATAAGTCCTGTGAGAATTAATGGCATTTTTATTAAACACTATTAAAAAACGTCACTAATTGTTAATTTTTAGCGACAATTTGAAAATTGTCACAAAAAATACACTAATCATAACTTTTAGTGATAGTTTAAAAAAATTGTTACAAAAAAAAAATCACTAATTTTCAACTTTCAGCAAAAGTTTAAAAAATTCGTTAAGTTTTAGCGACAATTTATAAAAACTATAATAAAAAGTAATTTTTAGCGACATGCAAAAAATTGTCACAAAAAATTATTTTTAGCGACAATTTTATTATGACTTATTTTTAATAAGCCTTGATGGAGATTAAGTCAAACTATTAGGATCTATTTGTAGTTTACCCCAAACTTCTATATTATTATATTCAAAGGAAAAGTTATGTGTAATACGTTTAAGTTAAGTTGGGTATATGTGGACTTATTACATGGCAGAACATACTTGTAGAAAAGTATTGACTATTATTATTCTACATTTTTTATTTTATGTTATAATTTGGATGTAGGCTTGTTCTGAGGAAAACTTACCTGGAGGAAAGGGTATCTGAAGGTCAAGATGACAGTAACTGTGTAGGAAAAATGACCATTAATAATTTTTTTGTTGTTGATAAATACCATTAATGACTTTAAATTGGAAGTCATTGAATTCCACTCATTGATTCAGCATTGTCAGGCTACCGGTTGTTTCAAAAGATTAAGCAATTAGAAAATGAGTTCACCATTGTATATCAAGAGCTAAAAAGTGTATGCTATTTATTTTATTCATTATGGAGTGCACGCTGAAAATCTAATGGTTAACATCAATAATTCTAGGATGAAAGTATTTACTCTTGTTTTCCTGTTGATTTCTTCATGTTCATTGTATGCAGATGCCTCAGAGCTTTGACTACCCTTCACATACTCGCTTGCCTGGAATGAAGCTTGGTTATGATAGGAGCAATGGAAAAATCTGGTCTTTGATATCCTGGAAAAGCAGGGAAGACCCTGGCCCTGGAGTTTTCTCTCCGGAACTTGATCCTCAAGGCACGAGCCAGTGCTTCATCATAAAGGGATATCAGAAGTATTGGACTAGTGGGGAATGGAATGGACAAAATTTCTCAACGGTCCCTGATTTGAATGCGCTCAATTTATTAGACATCGCCTATTTTTCCAGATCGAGTGGGAACTATTTCACTTATTCTGTTACTGATGCTTCCGTGACCAGTAGATTTGTGTTGGAAATATCAGGTAAACTCGAGCAGCTGTTATGGTCTGAAACTACCCATCGATGGGATTTGTTTTGGTATCAACCAAGCCAGCAGTGTGAGGTTTATGCCTACTGTGGGGCTTTTAGCAATTGCAGTCAAAAGGCCCGTCCATTTTGCCAATGTTTGCCAGGTTTTGAACCCCTTTCTGTAGGAAGTTGGAATGCAGGCGACATGTCAGGAGGGTGTGCAAGGAAGGTCCCTTTGCAGTGTGGCAATGATAGTCAAGCCAATGGGCAGAATGACCAGTTTCTTTGGATATATCCAAAGTAAGACTGCCTGCCAATCCTATAGTTTTGCAAGTTAGAAGTGCTGTTGACTGTAAGTCGGCTTGCTTTGGTAACTGCTCTTGCTCTGCTTATGTGTATGGCAGTGATGGGTTTCAATATGGAGCGAAGATCTCTTTAATGTGGAGCAGCTGACAAATGATGACACTGATGGGAGAGATTTCTATCTAAAACTTGCTGCTTCTGAGTTTCTTAGTAATGGTAAGAATAATGGAATTGTCGCAGTTGTTTTGGTGGCATGGTGACAACAATTAGTTACATTGTTTTTGATGAAAAGTCTATTGTCAGATACGATTCGCAATTCATGCATAGATCAATACAAATCTATGAGTGAGTCTAATTTGGAATGGAATCTATGGTAAATTGCACGATCACAATTGATTGATGCAATTCTTGAACTATCGTGTCCTAGAAATTGACTATGTTTATATTTTTTGTTTTTGTCTAAAAAAAAATGTTATAATATATCTTCTCAGCATGTTTAAAGTTAAAAGTAAAATAATTATGATTTAATGTAAGATGGGTCAGGTCAGTCCCACAAGTGTCTCCTTTTTTTTTTTTTAACTTCTTTTTTTTGAATAATAAGCATATAGTTTTTAAATTGTTTTTAAGTTTTAAATAAATAATTCCACTTAATTCTTTCTTCTTATTATAGGGTTTCTAAGTCCATTTTTCGAATATCAAGACAAATTATATTGTTTTTGAATAATTTTATAGTTAGTGGGATTTGAACCCACATTGCTTAATTAGATGGTGTAGTTATGTCCTTATATGACAAACTATTTTATAACATATGCCAAAATCAATCTTATTTCATTTTTTTTTTCATATATATGAGTGTATAGCATAATCTTTTATTAGTTTGTAGTAAATCTTAGCAATTTTTCATTCGATTTACAATTCACATAATTAAGATTTCAATTCATGATGCAATTCTTAATTTGACAACTATGGAAAATCTTGAATTCAGTCCACCCGACTCTTTCTGCAAATTCAAGAAGCAAGAGGTGGAAATGGATTTTTCTAGCACTAGTAGTTTCTCTGACTCTGTCGACTACAGCCTTGTTTTATTGTATGTGGAGGAGGAGAAAGCTACAAAAGAAAGGTATGGATTTCACTCTTGGAACATAAAACAAAAGAAAGCTATTTTTGTTCCTTTGTTTGTGATAGCAAGTTCATTTTGTTTGCATAGCATGCTGATTTTTAGTTTATATGGACATGTGTGCCAACTAAGTTTATTTTGGCAAATTTTATGTGCATGCGTGTGAGTGTATTATATTTAAACTCAAAATTAGCCATTGTGCTTCTATATAGTCCCAAATGCTCAAATATTATTCAAAAATCATAAGGACGTATATCTTTTACTAAACAGGGGAGGATTTGTTAAAATTAGAAATTGGCACGAGTGTTGGACCTGCCAACTGCACATGAAATGAAGCCAGTAAGAGTCTTATTGGTGGAAATAAGGAAGTTGATTTACTGTTGTTCAGTTTCACTAGTGTATCTGCTGCTACCGATAACTTCTCTAATGCAAATAAGCTCGGAGAGGGTGGCTTGACCTGTTTACAAGGTAACATTCAGCATCACACTTTTGGGATGTTGAACGCTATACAGAAATCATTCTGATCTAACCTGAAAATCCTACGTGATTTGTGATTAGATCAAGATTAACTAATTCCAAAACCCAATAAATTCAAAACACTTAACCTAAAATCATCAAACACTTACGAGAGTGATTTTAGTTTGTTTGTTTTTGAGAATAAACAATAAATCAACACAAACGATTTTTTACGTGGAAAAAACCACAATTGAAGAACCTTCAATTGTAATCAAAAACCACGGGCGAACCGCCACTATCAATCCACTACTGAAGAACGAAAAGATTACAAAGAAATCATACAAATTACCCAACCCTAGTCAATTTGTCTCTGAATCTTCTGTAACTCTTTTCACCACACCTTCATCACGGAATTGATCCTGAAGTTGATTCCACACCACAACTTCACTTGTCGAATTAACGACTACGTAGACTCAAACGCCTTTTGAATCCTACGCTTTGATCTTCGGAATCCACCGAAGAGAACTCACTTGAAACTTAAGAAGCAACCTCCTTGATGTATGAATCTCAATGCATAAGTTCAGAACTCTCTCAAGAACATCAAGGAACACTATGAAAAATCTCCAAAGAAAACTTTAAACACAACCCTAGTTTGTTTAGATCAGATCTAGGAAAACATCCTTCACAGAAACACCCTTAACAGCTTTAAATAGGAATCTGGGTCCGCGATCTCCGCTCGAGCTCACCACATCCCGCTCAAGCGGACTGACCAAAACTGCGTGCGAAACAAACTGAGATGCGCTCGATCGTAGGATAATCCGCTCGAGCGTAAAATCAGATCCACCAGTATATGTTGCTTACCCTGAAAAACTACTGAGACCTGCGAATCTACGCTCGAGCTCACAAGTATACGCTCGAGCGGACAGAACAAAAACACAAAAAATTACATTTGAACCAACACAATGTTTTGTCTCCGGATTTGACAACATAGGGACCTAACAATCTCCCCCTTTGTCAATTCCCGGACAAAACAGTTCTAAACAAATGTCCTTAAACACATGCACTAGACAAGATTAAAAACAAATACTAAAAACACTCAAAACAACTCTATAATCCAATCTTGCCATATATCGGTCCATCAATCCAATTCTTCATCCAACATTCACCTGTGAAAAGACTAGCAACATACCAGAAAAACCAAAACTTGTGGAACTATATAAGAATATATCAAAATGTATCCATCCAATAGAACCAAAGGAACAAAATATTCAGATGAACAAAATATCAAAATATCCATGTGTCATAACCAAGAGAACAAAACAAAATATAATCACCAGAGTACCATCAATACAATATACCATCAAGATCACAGCATCAATACAATATACCATCAAGATCACAGCAGGAACCAAACTCTCCCCCTTTTTGACCGGGAATGAGGAAAGCAAGAAATCACGCACCAGATGGAGGAGGGGGCGGCTGAAGCGTCAGTAAGGAAATGATGTGGTCCAGCTGCGAAGTAGTGTGAGCGGCAGTCTGCTCCAGCTGACCAAGACGACCATCAAAGGCATCAAAACGCGCATCGAGAAAGTCTAACCGCCGAGTCATAGCCTCCTCAAAATGCCGAAGCTGATCAGGAAAAGAGCGAGGTGGAACAGGTGGAGTAGGATCCGCCTCACCCCCGGCGGCAGCAGCATCATATTCAGCCTCCTCAGCAAGGCCAGTAGTGGTACCTGCAGAAGGATCAGCCCGAGAGGACTCCCCCTTAACATGAGCCCGACTCTGTGAGACAGTTTTCTTAGTGAAAGGGCGAGAAGGAGAGGCAAACTCATCATCGTCTAGAATAGGGGTCCCAAGGTCAGTCAAAATTCGGTTGATCAAGCAACCGTAGGGAAGGCCAAGCTTTTTATGCCCATGAGCACCAATCATCTTTCTTATAATAAGAGAGGCGAGATCAATAGACCGGTGATTGGCAATACAGGACAAAATGAATCCTTGGTCTTGTTTGACCTCGGATGAGTGTGTGGTGACGATGATGTTGGCGCAGACAATCAGATTAAGCAATCTGAACTCCGGAAGAAGTTCAAACTGTTTAATCAAACCTCCTTTAGGCCAATGACGGGCAGCACCACACAGTTCCAAAGCCACATCATCAAAGTCACAAGTAGGACGGTCAGGAACAGGGAAATGATAGTATTGGGGAAAGACTTGCTCAATCTGAAGAAGTTGGCGAATCAAAGCAGGGGTGACGGAAATGGATTTTGACCGAACCCATGTAGTGAAAGATGGCTCATAATCACGAATACCCTCCATATTACAATAGAATTCTCGAACCCAATCGAGATTCTGACGTCCAGAAAACAATAAAACACGGTCACCACCTAGAGGGTCGAACAAAGGGCGAATGTGGATGGACTCAAAAGTATCAGGTTGAACATTCCGTTCTAAATGAACGGTACGAGTCACAAAAGATTTGTGGAAGGACTTGGATTGTGTGGCCGACTGAAACCGATCAGGGTTATAGAGAGGGTGAGAGACGGTGGCCTTTCGGCGTTTAGAAGCAGGAGCAGACATGACGAAAAAGACACTATAACACCCAACAAACCAACAAACCCAAAACCCAAACCACACCAAACCAAAACAAAGCAAAGCATTAGTGCAATAACCAAATTAAAAAACAGGGCATGAAACCCTCAATGTACAATGCAAAAGATCAATCATGAACAATGTGAGCATGGTATAGAAAAACACATAACTATGAAGCATAAGAAAATCAAAGCAATATATTCACCACCAGACTCAGACGCACGCACAGAGACATCAACAGCCCATAAAGACATGAAGGAGGGAACACAGATAAACCCTAATACACCAGACTCACTAAAGAAACCACACAAAAAAGAATCAGACAATAGGACGAGGACAAGGTGTGAGAGAGAGAGAATCACAAAAAAAAACGAGACACAAACCCCACAAAATCACAAACCCAACACCTACTAAAACAAAAAAGAACAAAAAATCAACGAAAATAAAAGAGGGTAAAACTTACCAAAGAACAAATCGGTGGGCAGGACGGTGAAGGTGAGGGAAAATCGACCACAATGCAGCCACAAACCAAACCCTAGATCGAGAGAATGAAACAGAAAAAAAAGAACTGACTCGAAGAGACGAGAGAGGGAGTTAAGTATGAAACAGGTACGCTCGAGCGTACATATTACTGCTCGAGCGTAAAACAATGCTAGCAGACTCCCGCGCGAGTGTGCAAAGGGCCGCTCGAGCTCAAAAATCCATCTCTCAGAACTGTCAAAACACGAACAAACTGCTGCAAGAGTGAAAAACGCGCTCGAGCGTAAAACATGCCGCTCGAGCGTAAAGAACTTTTTTTTTTTTTTTTAAAAGGAAGCATAAGATGCATCATAATATTAATGAAATCGCAAGAGTGAGTACATTATCACAATACAACATTACAATGAAGGATTAAAATAAATATTGCACAACCCACGTACTATCACCATGAATAGTGGAAAAAACTTCTATCAGCAGCACCTGCGAGTACCTAGACATTGGTTAGAAAAAACAAAAGAATGTACCATACCTTGCAGGTCAAGACGCCAATGAAGAGCATCATCTTAAAAGAATGCAAAAAAGGCTTAGGTCTTCCTGACTGTCTTCTATGCAATGCGCTCTTTTTCGCTTGACGTGATCTATGCTTTGAGAGGATTGGATAATTTCCATCGCATTGTGGATGTCCCAATCCGGATCAAATTTTTCCATGTTTTTTTTTTTTTCTTGTGGGCACTCACTGGTGGCATGCACGCTCAAGAGTATGGATTCCAACCAGAGAAGAATGAAGTCAGAATGATGGCCTGGTTGGTGCCTCTGAGGTAGCCTTTTCCTAATGCTCGGAGATCATGTACTGAGGGAGAAACCATGGAAGTGAACTAAGGCGGTAGATGGTTAAGAGACTTAACATCACCCATGATATACTAGTATAGGTCAATTTCTCCGCAAAAGTACAAGAAACGCTGTCAGTGGTCCATAGAGAACTTTGATCACTTATGCGGAAACCCCTGCAACAGTTTAGCTCAAGAATGTGTACAGAATGAGATCACGAAGTAAGTGAGTATGGGCATTCAGAATGAGCTATGAACAAAGATGTAAAACAAATCTTGTACGAAACATGAGCAGTGTTCATTTGAATATTTTTGGAGCAAAAGATACCAGGACTCAAACACAATGAGATTAACATATCTAAGAATAGTAAGTCAGACACTCACACTCACCTCACGAATACAGGAAACAATCTAGTTACTGAGCATTACACCCAAGGTCTTTCTAAGAAACTCAAATCGAAGAAGATCAAGGGGTTTTGTAAAAATATCAGCTTTTTGATGCTCAGTAGGGAT